GGTAAGAAGACATTTCTCCTGTACAGGGTGAAGTGTAACTTCAGTTTGTGTAACTGTTAAGACTTTGAAATGCTTCCCTAAGGTAACACTGCAGGTTTTAAACCAGCTCTAGGAATAAAGAGTTCTCAGAAAATGTCATTGCCGAGGTAGCTAGAGCTCGAGTATAAATTTTACACTTGATCTGTTGTAGCATGAACTTTACATGGTCTAATTGCAAGGCTAACTAACTTCTGGTACTTCCCCTCTTAAGAAATGCAAGCCCAGCACTTGGTGTTGTGGCACACACCTTTACTCCAGCACTCAGGAAGCAGAAGCAGGCAGATCTCTGAGTTTGAGGCCAGTCTGGTCTACAGAGTGAGTTCTTGGATAACCAAGGCTACACAAAGAAACCCTGTCTCAAAAAGCTGTGAAAGGAAGGAAGAAAGGAAGGAAAGAAAGAAGGAAGGAAGGAAGGAAGGAAGGAAGGAAGGAAGGAAGGAAGGAAGGAAGGAAGGAAGGAAAGAAAGAAAGAAAGAAAGAAAGAAAGAAAGAAAGAAAGAAAGAAAGAAAGAAAGAAAGAAAGAAAGAAAGAAAAAGAAATGCAAACCCTGTACAGCCCAAAAATGGTTTGTTTCAATAAGGAAACTAAAGAAGAAAATGGAAATGAGGTCCAAAAGTATACATGATCTGACTGCTGGGAAAGGCCAGTCCTGTGTGGTGAGCTGAGCTCTTCTCCTCCAGAAAAGCTAGTCTTGTTGTAGTTATTAAGCTCTGGTCTTCTTTAGGATAGTTGGTCTGCAGAGGAGAGATCTAGCACCATTCCATGAAATGTTGTTGTTTCCTTTTCTGGGAGTATGGAAATGGGAGAAGAAATGACTTCTCTTCCTACTCTGGTACCTAGGTGCGAAATTCTGTCTGATGGTAAGAAGACATTTCTCCTGTACAGGGTGAAGTGTAACTTCAGTTTGTGTAACTGTTAAGACTTTGAAATGCTTCCCTAAGGTAACACTGCAGGTTTTAAACCAGCTCTAGGAATAAAGAGTTCTCAGAAAATGTCATTGCCGAGGTAGCTAGAGCTCGAGTATAAATTTTACACTTGATCTGTTGTAGCATGAACTTTACATGGTCTAATTGCATCAGGCCATTTGAGGAATTTTCATTAGGAAAGGTTAACGAATAGGGAACTGAACTGTAGTTGTGGCCTACAGTTTTCTTGTATGACTTTTACTTTGTGGGACTTGTTCTTAAAAAGTCAGTTCATGTGCATTCTGATACAAATCATCAGCTCTGTTTCCAGTTTAGTTAATACATAATGAAGATGCCAAGAGGTAGGCCTGAGAATAAAGGTCGGAGGGAGGAAGTTCCATATTAGGCATACATATGACCCGTGTTAACCTGGAATAACTATGTATCATCTTGAAGATTAACTGTAAAGAACAAGACAACCAGACAATTATCCTTTTGTTAACTTAAAATGCAAACATGAAGCCGGGCGGTGGTGCCCCACGCCTTTAATCCCAGCGTTTGGGAGGCAGAGCCAGGCGGATCTCTGTGAGTTCAAGGCCAGCCTGGGCAACCAAGTAAGTTCCAGGAAATGTGCAAAGCTACACAGAGAAACCCTGTCTTGAAAAAAAAATGCAAACATGAGTGTTATAGTAAGACCTACTGAGAACTAACCAGGGCTTAGCATATCTATCAACTTATAAAAGGCCCCTAACCCTAAAACTTACCCAAACATTTAAAAACTAAATTATTTGAGAATGCATGGAGGAACAGACTTTATATACAGTCAGTGTTGCAATGAGAAGAGAAAGGTACAGTCCCTATGGACACCACCAGAAGCTTCTAAAATGCCTACCAAAGAGCCCTGCTTGGATCATCTGCCACACACCCAAGCCACTTTCAAATCCCAAACCCACAGACATTGTGTGAGATAAATCTGCATACCTGTTTTTAGACAGTGTTGGAGGTGTTACCTGGTAAAGGATAATAAATACTACTACCTCTTGGAAGTATTCTATAAGGAAGACAGCTGAGCTAGCAAAAGGGGGAAAGCCCGTAAGCAGCAGTCCTCCATGGTCTCTGCTTCAGTTCCTGCCTCCAGGTTCCTGCCTTAAGTTCCTATCTTGGTTGCCAGGTGTGGTGCCCGATGTTTTTAATCCCAGCATTCAGGAGGCAGAGGTAGGTGGATCTCTGTGAGTTCAAGGCCAGCCTGGTCAGCCAAGTGAGTTCCAGGACAGCCAGGGCTGCACAGAGAAACCCTGTCTTGCAAAACAAAATCAAAAAACAAGCAAACAAATTTCCTGTCTTGGCTTCCCTCAATGAAGGACTGCAGTCTGTAAGCCAAACAAATCCTTTCTTCCCCAGGTTGGTTTTGGTCAGTGATATTTCACAGCGATAGAAAGCAAGCTAGAATAGGATTGAAAACTTGGTGTGGTGTTCTTTTTGCTACTCTAAAATATGATATATCGGAAGGGTAGGGAAGGTAGTCTTACATGGTTATTTTCAAGGATTGAGCAGTCTATGTACACACAGCTTCTGATGCATTTCTTCAGAGTAATAGTCTTCCTTCTCAATTTTTTTCCTCTTTCAGCATTCCTATACAGACTTACTTCTTTTAGGAACATGCATTTCTCGGTGGTAAGGGAAGGATTCAGGGTGGTGCATGGAACTTACATGCTTGACAAAGCTCTTTAAAAATCTGGACGTGAGGAAGGAGGTGGCTCTCTACTGCTTTTTCCTTGAGAATCATTCTTGAATGGTTTGGGGCCAATGCCTAAAATTCTTCCTAGCTTACGGTGCTGAGACTTATCTGAGAAACAGAAATCTGTGTTGTTTCTCACAGTTCCCAACAGAAAGGCCAGACACTCAGTCCTCTTGTTCAGAGTGGCACGTTTCCCTGGCACCCTCTGGTCTCCAGACTCATGCAGTTGGTCAGTGGCGAGGGGAGAGTCACTGGGTGCATAAGAACCCTCTGCGCGTGTCGGAGACCAATGATGGCATGCCTTCTCAGACAAGTCCATCAAAGCTCAGCAAACTTGTACAGATGGTAATAAATGATTATGACCTCTATTTTTATAATCTAAATAAAACAAAGCTTTCATATGTTATAAAGTAGAGTAATCCCTGTAACCTGCATGCAGAGCAATAATTCTGCCAGCCTCTTTCCTTCTAAGAAGTGGCTTTTGTACTTTGTAAACCAAAATAACCCACACTAAATATGGGGCTGTAGAAATGAAACAAAGGAAAGTATTTTAGTCATATTTTTTCTCTGACCAGATTTACCACATTTCATTATTTTTCTGCCTACCATTGCTTTGCGGTCCCTGCGGAAATAATGAGACGAAATTGAGAAGAGCAACAGAATGCACGAAATCTGATACCCCAGGTTGCAAATACCCAATCAGGTCACACAATGATTAAATTTAGCTCTTGTTAACCTGATTTCGAGTGCAGCTCAATTCTGAGGGATGATGAGAAACAGAACGTGTGTTCCACATTATCAGAAAGTATTTTCATCAGAACACATGGCTTTGACTTTCCCTGCCTGACAGAACATGAGCATGACGCAGGCGCGATCTCCATTCAGGGATCACCGGAGGGTCCATCTGTTGTATCAGCCAAGGAGAACATTAACCAGCATTCCTTGCTGCTCTTCTCTCTACACATGCACACATGCGTGCTTACCATCTCTACCTGTCCTGCCTGGGAAGGCACTACGGCCTCCTGATACCGGGAACCATGACATTCTTGACAGGCAGCCTCATCCTTGATCTTGAGAAACTGCTTCAGTCCAGAGGGAGGACTTTGAGACATTCAGAGGTGGTTCTCTAACAAGGCTGTGTAATTCCCAAGGGATGGAAATCGGGGATAAGAAATGGGGATTTCCAAATCAATCTGTTTTACTGGTTTTGATTCATCAGTGATTTTGCTGGCAGCATAGAGATGGGCCAGAGGACTTCTCAACATCTCTCCAAGCTGCCTGGTGTGTATACTGTGTGTCAGAGTGTTCGAGAAGAAAGTGACCTTCCTCACAAAAATCCAGCTCCCATAATTAACTAGGAGGAAACTGAGGGGTGGGGTTACATGGTAACTGAAAATAGATATTCCTCCAGAGTATCATTTTGCTCTTTAAAGAACTAACCCTTTTGTTGTGAGAAAAATCAAGGACTTGAAGAAAGAATAATGTGTATTACAACTCATCAAATGATAGTGAGTGATAATGAGAAATAGATATGAACAAATTAGGAATAATAACAGTGAATAACCTGTAGCAGGAATCTTAGAAGGTCTTATTAATAAAATCAAACCAGGTGCCAGTTATTGGGGTGAATGCTGGAAGATCAGAGAAGCAGAACAAGCCACAGCTACCTCACCTTGCCAATTCCTCAGGTGATCCTGTTTCCTCAGACTGGAAGCCTCTGAGTCCTCATCCAGAATGAATCTCAGCTGAACTGCTGCTCGAAAGCCTGAAAGCTTAACCAGCCAAATGCTGCTAGTTTCTGGTCTCCACGCCTTATACACCTTTCTACTTTCTTCCATCACTCCCTGGGATTAAAGGCTCTCTTCTTGGGATTAAAGGCGTGTGTCACCATGCCTGACTGTTTCCAATGTGGCCTTGAACTCACAGAGATCCAGACGGATTTCTGCCTCTGGAATGCTAGGATTAAAGGTGTGAGTGCCACCATTTTCTAGCCTCTGTATCTAGTGGCTGTTCTGTTCTTTGACCCCAGATAAGTTTATTAGGGTGCATAATATTTTGGGGAACACAATACCACCACAATAACCTATCCAGGTGATGTGTGAGACACCCCACCGGAACTTCAGATCCTTCCTCAGAGCCTCCCCAACAACCACTCTCTTGAGACCATGGGAAAAGCAAGGTACTGATGCCTGAGGATGCCAATGTGGTCCAGCAGGTGGGTGGGGACATCGTTCATAGAAACAGCAAACCCAAATCTCCATTTGGTGAATAGAGTAGGGAAGGAATGTCATATCCTGATGCGTTTGTTCTTGCACAGGTCAAATCTGTGTTACAGCTCACTGAAGAAGGAAGTATTTGGGCTCATGGAACATCCTTGTTCACAACCGGTGCCTTCAGTACATTCATCCTGCTCCACTGCTCCCTCAGGGGGCTCAGCGGCTATCAGCTGGTGACCCCTTCCCTGCACAGCCAGCGTAGATACAGCCATACGCTTTGGAAGGAAAGTATTCCTGGAGCTGGTGAGATGGTGCAGCGTTAAAAACACCCACTGAGCAAGCCTGATGACCTGGGTTCCATCGCTGAAACCCCTGTGGAAGGAGATGACGACCAACTTCTGCAGGCTGTCCTCGGATTTCCACACAGGTGCTGTGGCATGTATGCAAACTCACAGACGGACAAACACAGAGAGAAAGACACACACACATGTATACATATGATAACTATTAATTTAAAAAAATCCTTCATGGAAATCTGCACAATAGTCTCCAAGAATTTCAGTGTACGTCCCAGGATCCATCCATTTCCCAAGGTCTGCATTGTTCCTTTTAAAGTACTACATGAGGTGAAACACCAACAGTGTATGGACCCGCCCTGCCCCGGGCCCAATGCCTCCTTCCCTAGCCCCGCAACCACTGACTGTACTTTTATTTTGCCTTCCCTATTTTCAATTCTCATTTTTCAATATTCTCACTCTTTCTTTTTTGAGTCAACTTTTCCAATGGAGAGAAGCTATGCAGCTGGTGTCTCCCAAAGTCCAGAGATCTCTTTTTAAGGTCAGCCAGGAGGTTCTATGCACCACCTCCACAGAAATAAACAATAAAATAAGTAATAATATGAAATTGATCTAAAAGTTAAAGGCTCACAGTCTGAGAACTGCAGCTCTGACTGCAGGAATTGCAACTTGTTGCTGTGGTGCAAAGATGTTTAGGCCTAAAAGCTGGGGTCCTGAGAAAACTCCTTCCCCACCACCTTGGTCCCTTTAAAGAAAGAACACGGGTCTCAATTCAAACCTAAGCCCCTATCCTTTTGAAGCAAGACACTACCACAAATTAAAGTCTTTCGTCACTGAAGACATAGATATATAAATCTTGGCATCTGGTATCACCCTGGGTCATAGTTTGTTGCCATTGTTTGATGGAGAAGAAAAAAACCACATGTTGACCTGGGAACATGAGCTAGATGATGTGTAGTTCACTTTGCCATCTTTAAGTAGTTGGAAATAACTATTTAATAAGTAGTTAAAAATAACCTGAGTCCCAGGGGTGCTTATCGCTGTGTACTGCTAGCCCCAGGCCCCTCTGCCTTCTTACCGATGCCAGCTTCTAGGAAGGGGTCCTTCAAGTCAGATCTCAACACATCGGAATGGCAAGTCTGAGACCTGTGGGCCTAGTCTCACCACAGCTGTGTTGCAGCACTAGTTAATCATGTTGCACAATCAGCAACTTCAGCCATGCCGTGAGCAACAGTCAAAGCCACAGTTGACGGAAATACAGTGAAGAAATCCTAAAGTCTGTCTGGACATGACATGGCTACTGCTCCCATCAACTCACGGCAGCCATAATTACCCGCCAGCCAAAATTTCAGCATGGATGGGAAGGAGCTCTGGAGGCCCCACCCCTTTGGGGGGAACTATTGGAGTTAATGGCTGCTGAGGGAAGGATAGTCACTCTCCTTTAGAGAGGTGGCTGCCTGCCGGTAGGCTGCTTGTGGCCCAGGAAGTGGCCACACACCAGTGAGCAGATGGACAGTACTAATTGTACTCGGTGAGTTATTAATAACAATAAAAAAGGGCATGAAGTTAGGAGGAAGACAGGCTAAGGAGGCAGTAGGGGGAGATGGAGAGAGGTAGAGGTGGATGAATATAATCAAAATACGTTGAATAAATATCCGGAACTTTGAAAGAATAAAAGTATATATATTAAAAAAATTTAAATACTGAAGTCTGTAGCTTAAATTCCTATAAATCCTTAAAGTCCCCAATTTTAAGCAACTTGGTAATATTTTAAAAGAAGAAACATAGTAACTTTTGTCACTCAGAATGCCATAGTTTGAAATAGGAGGTGGGATGAATTAGGTGCAGCTGTTGAGCAAGGGTAGCAGTCATTTGGTAGTCTGCAACAATTTTAACCTAAAACAGCCTGGAAGCCCTTCCCGTTCTCTTTTGAAGTGCATTTCTTTTTTGGATACTAAAACCATGCTCTCTACCACTTAGCTGGGAATTCACAGCCGCTTGTGTCCCATGTCTGGAATATCACATGTACATCTCTGTCAACATCTTGGAAAGTTCTGTGGTCATGATGCCCTTGTGTTCCATTTCTCCATCCAGCTGCAGCTTTGAATCCCACACATTGTCATTTAGCCTCAGGCTGATGAGAAGAAATGTCATTCCACTCTTAATATTGCTAAAGAATGTAGGAACCTCCATATGCATGACGCGGCCAAGACAGGGCAATGACAATTCACCTTCTCTCTTCATTCTCTCCATTCCTTTTACTCGATGTGAACTGTTGGCACAGCTCCTGTGTAACCAGGCACCAGGTTTGCCCTGGTACAGCCAAAATCCCGTAAGACTTTTATACAAGTTTTCTAAAATAAGGTCACTTATAAATGTCACTGTTTACCACACATGTTCAGAGTTCTTACTTTTCAACAGCATTGTGCTCTGGAAGTTTCCACTGACTTTCCATTACAGACTCCCTCATATTCTCAAAGTGAACTTAGGAGACTTTACTGTGTGTGTAAGGAAAGCATTGAAACTGATGGATAGTTTTATCTAAAATGATTACATGGGAAGAAATCCACAAATGAGCATATTAGAAGGAAGCGATGGGAGGGGGAGGGGAGAATAGATGGGACCAGCAAAGCGTCTGTTGAGGCAACAAAGAGTCTCCCACCAAATTGTTAGCTGTACTGAATGAAGTCCAGAGACCCTGGGTAAGAGACACCATGGATTGCGTCTTCTGCCCATTGCCCACTAAGAGTTACAGGGCTTCAGGGTTGCAGAGGTACAGTGTCTATAACCTAGAGTTACCAAAAGATATGGGCCATTCTACAGGACCCAGGGAATAAATATATATAGAACTCAATAAACATATTAAATAAATATATATGAATAAATATATAAAGAACTCAAGAAACTAGACATCAAAATATCAAATAATCCAATTAAAAAATAGGGTGCAGATCTAAACAGAGAATTCTCAACAGAAGAATCTCAAATGGCCAAAAGACATTTAAGGAAGTGTTCAACATCCTTAGCCATCAGGGAAATACAAATCAAAATGACTCTGAGATACCATTTTACCATTTTATGCCTGTTAGAACGACTATGATCAAAAACACTAATAACAGCTTATGCTGGAGAGGATGTGGAGCAAGGGGAATACTCCTCCACTGCTGGTGGGAGTGCAAACTTGTACAGCCACTCTAGTAATCAGTATGGTGGTGTCTCAGAAAACTGGGAATCAACCTACCTCAAGACCCAGCAATACAAACTCTTGGGCATATCCACAAAAGATGCTCAACCACATCACAAGGACATTTGCTCAGCTATGTTCATAGCAGCATTATTCATCATAGCCAGAACCTGGAAACAACCTAGATGCTCCTCAACTGAAGAATGGATAAGGAAAATATGGTATATTTACACAATGGGGTATTACACAACGGTAAAAAAAATAATGTTATCATGGAATTTGTAGGAAAATGGATGGAACTAGAAGAAATCATCCTGAGTGAGGTAACCCAGACCTAGAAAGACAAACATGGTATGTACTCACTCATAACTGAATATTAGATGCAAAGCAAAAGATAAACAGGCTACAGTCCACAACCCCCAGAGAAGATAGGTAAAGAAGAGGACACTAAGAGGGACACACATGGATTGCTCCAGGAAGGGGGAAGGGGGAAGACTTCCTGGGTAAACTGGGAGGGGGGAGTATAGGGGAGAGGATGGGGGATGGGAATATGAGGGTTCAAGATGGCAGAGTTGGGGGAGGGACAGAGAGGGAGAGCAATGAAAGAGATATCTTGACAGAATGGCCATTATGGAGTTAGAGAGAAAACTAGCGTTAGGGAAATCCCCAGGAACCCACAAGGAGGTCCCTAGTTGAGACTCATAGCAATGGTGGAGAGGGTGCTTATACTAGCCTTCCCCTGTACTCAGATTGGTATCTACCCTAATTGTCATTATAGAACCTACATACATCCAGTGACTGATGGAAGCAGATGCAGAGACCCACAGCCAAGCATTTGGCCAAGATCCTCAAGTTCAGTTGAAGAGAGGAAAGATGGATTATAGGAGCAAGGTGGGGTGGGGGCAAGATCATAATGGGAAAAACCACAGAGACAACTGACCCAAGCTAGTGGGAGCTCAGGGACTCTGAACTGACAGCTGGGGAGCTTGCATGGGGCCAAACTAGGCCCTATGAATGAGGGTTATAGTTGCATGGCTTGATATGTTTGTGGGTCCCCTGGCAATGGGACTTAGACTTACCCTGGGTACATGAACTGGCTTTTTAGAGCCCATTCCCTATGGTGGGATGCCTTGCTCAGCCTTGATGCAGTGGGGAGGGGCTTGGCCCTGCCCCAACTTGGTATGCCAGTCTGTGTTGAATACCCAAGGGAGGCCTTACCCACTGTGAGGAGTGGATGGGAGTGGGATGCAGGGTTGGCGTGGTGGGGGGGAATGGGAGAAGGGGGAGGAGGTAAAAAAAAAGATAACAAACTGTGCTGAGCCAAACAATAGAATGGGGCCTTGATGAGGCTTTGCTTTTCATAGTAAATGATGGAGAGAACATGTACATTTTGAGTCTCTCTTCCCAAACTAATGACTTCATTTCACACATCTGCTGCCCTTTCCTCCAGATGAAAGAAAAACAGACATCCTCATTCTGAAAATAAGAGAGGGTAAGGAAGAAAAGGAAGGCAGATGTTTTCCAGCAATGGGATCTTACAGCAGGTCACCAGATACCTCCACTCTGCCATCCTGACTCATTCAACAAGTATCAGTAAGTACCACTGTGTCCAGAGTCCTTTGAATGTTGGCTTATTATGGAATCATGAGTTTCAGGTAAGAATGAGCCCAAAATACATGTAATCCAGAGAGCCCTAAACAGAGACCTTCCTGAAATCTGGGCAAAAACCAAACCAAAACAACAAAAAACAAAGAATCCTGAGATTTGAATGAGCTACAAGTCTGGTGTTTCCTTCTTGTGGCTTGAAGCACTGTTGCCTAAAGCCATGGTCAGGTTGGAGCCTTCTCCAGCTGTGTCCAAGTGTGTCCAGATGTCTACTGCTGTCATCTTTCAAGTCTTCCAACCCTAGAAACAGTGGCACTGTTGGTGGTTCAGGAAGACATTGCGTGTAATTATGTTCACTACTGAAGCCTCCATCCAGGACCTCTGTGTTCTCCTTTGTCTGTCACAATGACTGGCTGTGGAGCATCAAAATCGGTCATATATTACACCTCTAAGCAAGACTCAGTTTCACTTGACCAAAGAAATAAATGTGAGTTTTCGCCTTCGGAACTATTTAGACAGAGGGCTGTCTATTTGCACCTTGTGAAAAAAAGCCATGTGAAAGCAGTTTGAGTTCCTGCCCTGACTTCCTTCAATTATGAACAGCGATATGGAAGTACAAGCCAAATAAACTCTTTTCCTCCCCGAGTTGTTTTGGGTCATGGTGTTCCATCACGGCAGCCGCAACCCTAATTAAGACAACAGAATAGGGTATAATCTGGCTGCCACAATCACCTCTCTGGTGGACATGCAGTTGATTTGAACTTCGCTTGTGGGTTGCTGTCCCCAACACTGCTCTGCTGAGTATGCTGTCCTCGACTTATGACACTTTCTGCCTGTGGAGCTTCTATCTTGTCTGTGTGACAACTGTGATTGCTGGAAGAAGGAATGGATTCACAGGAAGTCCCTGATGATGACAAAGGACTGACCTTCAGTATCAATACTGTAGGTAAAACTGGAAGGGATTTCCAATCATGTTGGCTGTATCAGGATCCCTAAGAGAGCACTTTAACCATCCCCACACTGGGATCCCATCCTAGCTAGTTCCTTCCACTCTCTAGGAGTGGATTCAGGACTCTACATTGACTTGAAAACTCATGAGAGACCCCAAAGGATGGCCAAAGTTTCTAGCCTCAAAGACTGCCAACAGGAGCAGAAAAATCAAGCTGGAGGTGGGCACTGCCCTCCACTCAGTGTACAGAGAAATGCAAATCACACTAGACACTTCCATCCTCTCTGGAATTAAGGTCATCTCCCAGGGAACTCTGCACCCTCTCCAGTGTCTCTGCGTGGTCACATTCCTCAGACTCCACCTCTCTAAGGAAAGCAACCCTGAGTAAGGCCACCAGAACAGATCTTTAACCCGTCTCATAACTCTAGTCAGGAACTGATCTGTCTGCAGCCCCATGATAAGTGTGAATTAATTCTTGAGACAGGAGGCGGTGGCACAGGCTTTTAATCCCAGCACTCGGGAGGCAGAGCCAAGCAGATCTCTGTGAGTTCGAGGCCAGCCTGGGCTACAGAGTGAGTTCCAGGAAAGGTGCAAAGCTACACGGAGAAACCCTGTCTTGAAAAAACAAAAACAAAAAAAATTCTTGAGAGAGAGATCTATTGGTTCTATTCCCCAGAGAGCTGTACTCATACTGAGATCCTCAATTTCCTCCAAGTTGTTCTCAGAACTCAAGGCCTCCAGCAAGTGATGAAAAGCTTTGCTCAGAAATCTGAAGAGCTCAGGGGGAAATCTCCTAAAGGCACTGCTAGTATCCAGGACGCCCAGCTACAAAGCTCAGCGGATCACAAGAGCTCCATGCTGCTCAAAAACATCCAAATGCTCAGAGCTCCAACC